ACAGACATGCCACATAGAGACAGACATGCCACATAGAGACAGACATGCCACATAGAAACAGACATGCCACATAGAGACAGACATGCCACATAGAGACAGACATGCCACATAGAGACAGACATGCCACATAGAAACAGACATGCCACATAGAGACAGACATGCCACATAGAGACAGACAAGCCACATAGAGACAGACATGCCACATAGAGACAGACATGCCACATAGAGACAGACATGCCACATAGAGACAGACATGCCACATAGAGACAGACATGCCACATAGAGACAGACATGCCACATAGAAACAGACATGCCACATAGAGACAGACATGCCACATAGAGACAGACATGCCACATAGAGACAGACATGCCACATAGAGACAGACATGCCACATAGAGACAGACATGCCACATAGAGACAGACATGCCACATAGAGACAGACATGCCACATAGAGACAGACATGCCACATAGAGACAGACATGCCACATAGAGACAGACATGCCACATAGAGACAGACATGCCACATAGAGACAGACATGCCACATAGAGACAGACATGCCACATAGAGACAGACATGCCACATAGAGACAGACATGCCACATAGAGACAGACATGCCACATAGAAACAGACATGCCACATAGAGACAGACATGCCACATAGAGACAGACATGCCACATAGAGACAGACATGCCACATAGAGACAGACATGCCACATAGAGACAGACATGCCACATAGAAACAGACATGCCACATAGAGACAGACATGCCACATAGAAACAGACATGCCACATACAGACATACAAGTCACATAGAGACAGACATGCCACATAGAGAAAGACATGCCACATCGAGAGATAGCCTCGCTTTTTGTTTACACTTTGATAAAAAAGAACACAATTAAATACATTATTGTACAAAATATATTTTTGAAAAAGGTTTTTATAAAGTATTTGATTATATTGGATTGGATAGCTTTATGATTATATTGGATAGCTTTATGATTATATTGGATAGCTTTATGATCATTCTTACATAATTCTTATGACTAGAACATTTTTTTATGTAATTTTGTATTTTATACTTTTCGTTTCAAATTTTATTCAATTCCTTGGAGGATGTTGTTTAGTGGGTATATGTATTTCTTTAAAGGGCAAGTTCGAATAAAATCTATATACCTTTTATCTTTAATAAATATTTTATTGTATGTGTCTTTTTAAAACCTCGATTCTCGTATTAGTTTAAATAAAATGTTTATACTTTTTATCTTTAATAAATATTTTTTTGTGTCATTTCAAAACCTCATTTGGTGTGATCAGTGGCCTAATGTTGGGTACTAGCCAGAAAAATACTTGTTTACATAGCCTTGGCACAGGCATAATCATATTTCGCAGGTCTGTTGATACCTGGTTACAGCTAGGAAAATACTTGGTGACTTTCATGTCGCCGGGAAATGTCAGGCCGTAGTGTAAAGGTCACAGCAGATATAGGCCATGGAGCAATGTGACAACTAGACAGCTATATGACAACTAGACAGCTATATGAAAACTAGACAGCTATATGAAAACTAGACAGCTATATTATTAAAACTAGACAGCTATATTATGAAAACTAGACAGCTATTAAATCGTCTGTGAGATCTCTACTGCTATGATGATTTGAAAATGTTGGTAGATGCTTTGTTGTGGCCATGAGTGAGAAGAGCTATTTGTCAAAATATTGCAATATTTAAATGAAGACATCGGCCCATTAATGAAGACATCAGCCCATTAATGAAGACATCGGCCCATGAATGAAGACATTCTGTCTATAAAATGAAGACATTCGGTCCATGAAATAAAGACATTCGGTCCATGAACTGAAGACATCAGCACATGAATGAAGACATCGGCCTATGAATGAAGACATTCTGTCCATAAAATGAAGACATCTGCCCATGAAATGAAGACATTGGTCCATGAAATGAAAACATTCGGTCCCTGAAATGAAGACATTCGGTCCGTGAAATGAAGACATTCGGTCCATGAAATAAAGACGTTCGGTCCATGAATGAAGATATTGGCCCATGAATGAAGAAATCTGCACATTAAATGAAGACATTCGGTTTATGAAATGAAGACATTCGGTCCATGAATTGAAGACATAGGTCCATGAAATGAAGACATTCGGTCCATGAATTGAAGA